CCATTGAAACATCAGGACTGACAGGCTAGAAATGCATTTAAGTGAAGTCTCATTAATCTTTAAGAAGCTGAAAAGCAAACATGTCAGAGAAGCAGTGTGGATTTGCAATATTAATATGCCAGTGTCTCTAAATATTGTCATAAAGGTGAATGGAAAACAATTTAGGAATGGACACCATATATTTCTTTTAAAGTTAGAATAGCATTAAATCAGATGCCTTAGTGACAATAACCTAACTAGTAGCTAATTGTAACTTTGTGTGGTTTAATTTTATATAGTGACTTTATTAAAAATTATGTAGATACGCATTACAGTAAACCCTTGATTTTGTGGACCTCGATATAATAAATTTTAGATTTAATGGACAAAATTTCTACTCCATATGTCATGTGAAAATTAATACCCTGTTAATTTTAAAATGCTTTTAACCAAGATTTGCTTATAATTAAATTAATAGGTTATGTTTTTGTTATTCACTGTCTTCTTGTTGTTAATCTTCATCTGAGGATATTTTTCTTTTTGAGAGAGAGTGGAAAGTGGCGGGGGGAGAGAGAGAAACATCGATGCAAGAGAGACTTGTTGATTGGTTGCCTCCTGCACGACCCCAACAGGGATAGAATCTGCAACCCAGGTTCACTGTTATTTTTCTTTTTACTTTTTAATTAATTAATTAATTAATTTTCCTCACCTGAGGACATTTTTGCATTTATCTTCAGATAGAGTGGGAGGGAGAGAGGGAGGAAGAGAGAGAGAAACATCAATGTGAGAAGGACACATCGAGTGCTTGCCACCCTCACGACCCCAACCAGGGTTTGGGACAAACTGCAACCGAAGTACATGCCCTCAGCGGGAACCGAACCCAGGACTCTGGTCCGTGGACCGATGCTCTAACCACTGAGCAAAACTGGCCAGGGCTTATTATTATTATTATTTTTAATCATCACCCAAGGATCTTTTTCCATTTATGTTCAGATAGAGTGGAAGGAAGGAAGAGAGAGAGAAACATAGATATGAAAGAGACACATCAACTGGTTGCCTTCCACACGACTCTGACCAGGGCCAGGGACTGAACAGCAACCGAGGTACGTGCCCTTGATGGGAACCAAACCCGAGACTCCTTGGTCTGCAGACTGACGCTCTAACCACTGAGCAAAACCGGCCAGGGCTTCGCTGTTATTTTTTGTTGTTGTTGTTCAGATAGAGAGGGGAGGGAGGGAAGGAGGGAGGGAGAGAGAGAGAGAGAGAGAGAGAGAGAGAAACAGAAACATCGACGTGAAAGGGACACATCGAGTGGCTGCCACCCGCACGACCAACCAGGGCCAGTGACAAACTGCAACCGAGGTACACACCCTTAGCGGGAACCGAACCCGGGTCTTTACGGACCGCAGGCCAACGCTCTAACCGCTGAGTCAAACCGGCCAGAGCTAGCCTACATATTTAAATCCAAGAGTCACCACTAGTAAACAGTGTTCTGTGAATGATTAGCATGTAATCACAACCCATCCATAACGGTAATTAGTTCTGTTGCGTGGTGTGACTTTCTGCAGCAGTTTGAACTGGTGCTGCCAGTGTTCTGACATGCGCTAAGCCACGCCCCAGCCATGTGCCTTTGTTCACTCTTGGTGACTGGTGAATGCACCCATTTACTAGACCTATTCAGTATAAATTTAAAATGACTAATATATAAAATATGTAGAAATGCATAGAAAACTTTTCTGTGAAATTGAACTCTTCATACATAATTTTAATAACACAAATATGTCTATATAAGTAAAAACAGATTAACTAATTTGTTAATTTTGTAACATACCCATTCAGAAAACTGACTTTATTTATTTTATTGATTTTTTTTGAGAGAGAGGAAAGAAGAGAGAGACAGAAACATCGCTGTGAGAGAGAAATATTGATCGGCCGCCTCCTTCACCCCTTCACTGGAGATTGAGTCCACAGCCCAGGCATGTTCCCTGATTGGGAACTGACAGGACCTCCCAGTCCATGGGATGATGCTCAATCCACTGAGCCACACCAGCCAGGCGGAAAACCTACTTTATTATATAACACACTTTCAGCTTTAACAGATACCCCTTCTCCCAAATTAGCTATATCTAGGTTTTACTGTAATTGGAATGACTTCACTAGCACAATTGCCTGTCAGTGTACATGTAAATCTAGAGTCACTAAACACACTGTCTTTTAGGTTGTAGTTCAGATATTCTGTGGTCTAATTACTAATTATTTGAACCTTTTTGTTTTAATTGGCAATTTTTTCTTAAAAAAGAGAATTTCTCTTCCTGGCGGGTGTGGTTCAGTGGTTAGAGCATTGGCAAAGGGTCATGGGTTCAATTTCTGGTTAGGGGCACTTACTTGGGTTGCAGGTTCCATCCCCAGTTGGGGTGTGTGCAGGAGGCAGCCAGTCGATGTCTCTCTTTCGATTTATGTTTTTTTTCCCATCTTCTCCCTCACCCTTTTTCCCTTCCACTCTCTCTCTAAAAATCAAGGGAAAAAATATCCTTGGGTGAGAATTAACCAAAAAGAGAGGGAGAGAGAGAGAGAGTTCCTATAAATGCTGTCACATTTTTCTTCTTTTCCATATTGTGTTTCTTATAATTGGTAGGGAGTAACTTTGCATATTGTCTGTTATTGTTGGAATAAGATACTTTTTCTCTTTTTTTTTGTTTGTGGTCTGCTTTCTTAACCTTTAACTACCCTGTTAACAGATGGTCATTTTATCCTTTTGCTCCATCATTTTGAATAATTGTTTTGAAAAAGGCCAACTTCTAACTTAAATTTTTTTATGACAGTATTGTTTAGGATCATATAACTCTTTTTCATTGACAGTTTTGATTTTTGAAGCTCCTTTTATTTTTTGGTGTGTGTTGAGTTTGTATATAATACTAAATGGAAAGCCAAACCTTACATTTTAAGTTATTGGATGATTGTATTTTCCTGATCCCTTAACACAATGTTTAGTTGATTGATACCACCTTATCAAGCCCATAAGGCAGGTGTATTTTACTTGGAGTCCCTTTAGGGTAGTGAGCCACAGGTTTTGGCACCTAACAGACTAGGGTTCAAATTATAGATTTGCCTTTGGGCAAGTTACTTAACCATCTGAGTCTCAATTTTTCAACCTTAAATTGGAGACTGGTCATACTCTGTTTACTTTGTAGGGCTGATGTAATACTAAATTAGAGGATTAAAGTGTCTGGTACACTCTGTGGAACATGGGGGATCAAAAATACAGGCTTAACTACAAAAGTGATCATTTTACAAGGTTGGTCATGTAATTGTGTATAATGTGGCAGCAGTGTTTGCTGGTTATATAAACAGTTTCCTTAAATGAATTATCTGGGAGTAAAACACCTTTAGAATGAATCAGCAGCAGCATCTCTATTGAAGCATATCCTCATGAACTTGAATTTGTTTTTCAGTAACTGAAGGGTGCACAGTAGCTGTAGTCATATGTGGTACCTACTTGTCTATAGAGCCTGGTAGAGAGACAGCTCCATAGCAAGACTGTTAATGAGTCTGACTGTGCTGCAGCTATGGAGAATGATGAGGTGCTCATATGTCCCACCAGAAGTAGCAACGCAGAGTCCTAATTGGGTCATCAGTCATTTATACGTTTGTTTATTTATTTGACCAATATTTGAGTGCTTACTATCCAGACACTGATATGTAATAGAGATACAGCACAGACTAACACATAGTATCTGCCTCCAAGAACATGTGGTTACAAACTGGTAAATGGTAAAACATAAGGCAAAACTAGTGCATGGGAGCATATGGGAGGGCTATGTCAATTCAAGCTGGGCAAAGGGCTGTGAAGTGTAGAGGTCGGAAGGCACTGTCTAAGCTCAATGCATGGTCAGGGTAGAGTAAGAAGTCGAGGGTATTTAGAAATTTTCATTTCAAGGGTTAAGCATCTTATTTCTGAGAATAGAGGTGACTAAGTAAGCAGGTTTGAGTCTGATTTCCAGCAAAAAGTAGGAAATCAGATTTCAGAAATCCTTTCTTTCTTATAGTTATTGGAAATGGGAAGTAGACCTAACTTTGTGCCCTGGAAAGATAAAAGTCTGGAATCTCACTTGGAAGCTGAGAGCATTCTCTCTCAGTTTTTGAATATTACTAACAATGCATTGATTGAGTTTTTATAATTTTACTACAATAAATATTTATTAACTGAGTAGCAAATGAGATTTGCATGGTTCTGGTCCCTACCCCACCTCCAGCCTTAAGAATTAAAACTTGAGCCCTGGCTGGTTTGGCTCAGTGGTTGGAGCATCGGCCTGCAGACCAAAGACTCCCGGGTTTGATTCCGGCCAAGGGCACGTACCTTGGTTGTTGTTAGTCCCCAGTCCCGGTTGGGGTTGTGCGGGTGGCAACTGATCGATATGTCTCTCTCACATGGATTTGTCTCTCTCTTTCTCCACCCCCCCCCCCCCGTCTGAAGATACATGTAAAAATATCCTCAGGTGAGGATTAAAAAAAGGAATTAACACCTGAGAGGCCAAATGATTGGGTGAGCTGTGTAGATATTATTAAAGAACATTGGGCTTTGGAATCAGGTGGCTGGCTTAGTAACATAGGTTATTAAACATAAACATGAATTCATGTCTTGGCTTTGTTAATTACCCTATGGTTTTGGGCAAAACACTTATGTTTAAGTTTCTTACAGAAATTCTTGTTTAGTTTCAAAACAAGTCTTATTGAAGTAGATGGTTCCTCAGGGATGAGGAACCAGACTCAGGTATGCCACATGCTTGCTTTTGTTTACGTGTGTGTGTGTGTGTGTGTGTGTACATTTACATATGTGTGTATGTATGTCAAGGTTGGTAATGGTAATAGAATTTGTTCATAATATGTGACATAGGTAGGTAGTGTTATCACAAGAGAGGAAATGAAATGGTGCTTTGGAGGGAGAAATAGTTTTACACTTGGGTGGGAATGAAGGAGGGCTTCCTGAGAAGTATTGAGATGGGTGGGCTCTTTTGTTTTTTATTTTTATGGAATGCTTCATGAATTTGCATGTCATCCTTGTGCAGGAACCATGCTAATTTTCTCTTTATCCGTCCAGTTTTAGTATATGTGGTGCTGAAGGGAGGGCGAGATGGGTGGGCTTTTTTAGCAGATGTTTATAGCAGTGAGTCATGAAGAGCTCCAGGTCTGTAGACAGGTAGTCTGGTTTGAAATCTGTTGACTAGCTGCTTGATGATCTCAGATAATACTGCTTCACTCCTCTAGGCTATTGTTTCCTCTGTAAAATTGATATGCTCATATATCCTACAGAGGATTTTTGAGGATTAAATGAAGGTAAGGCATGTAAAATGCTTAGCTGGGAGTGCTTGGCATACAGCAAGCGCTTGCTATTATTACTGTGGCATCGTAATTATTACTCCTAGGTATTGGTGGAAAGGCCTTTTCAGGCAGAGAGAATTTAGTTTATTCTCCTGTCTTGTAAACTATCAAGTTTTTGATAAATGAATCTAGTGGTTGTATTTTTTCATTTATGAATCACACACAGAATAATTGAGATTTAGATAGGATTCTTCTTGAATTGCAGAATTTGTTGCAGGCTGAAAAAACACCAGTCACAAGCTCCTAGTATTGTATTGCTGTCCCTTGAGTTCAGGACTCACTATCATTGGTTAAAGGTTGGAAGGGTAATCTACCCGGTTTATGTAACAGTGTACTTTTCAAAATATTTCCATGACTGTTAGCTGATCCTCATAGTAGCCTTGTGAAGCACATAGGGTAAGAGACATTATTTTTCTGGAAGTCGATAGTACTTCCTGGCCAAGGAGAGGACTTTATGGCTTTAGTGGCCATTTCAACGTAATTATAGCCCCTGTCTTCTGACTTCTGTTGTTTTCTGTGAATAAAAGTCCATCAGCAGACCTGAGTTTGCATTTAATCACTGCCATTTACTGGTCGTGTGGTCTTGTAAGAGTTGCTTATTTTGAGTCTGTTTTTTCATCTGTGACTTTGAACCACACAGGATTGTCTGTGTACTGAATTTATTTTATGTAATACTTTATAAGAACTGCTGTATATAATATAGGGATGTGTGTGTTAAGACTCAAGTTTATTCACTAATTGGTATCTTATCTGCATAGTGATGATGCAGGTAGGAAATACTCCTATTTCATATTGCCTTAATGTTCTTTATTTTTTTTTAAGTTACCCTTTATTTTTTTTTATCTTCACCTGAAGACATTTTTGCATTTATCTTTAGATAGAGCAGGAGGGAGAGAGGGAGGAAAAGAGAGAAACATTGATGTGAAAGAGACACATCGAGTGGTTGCCACCCACACAACCCCTACTGGAGCTGGGGACAAACTGCAACCGAGGTACGTGCCCTTAGCAGGAACTGAACCCGGGTCTCTGTGGTCCATGGGCCGACGCTCTAACTACTGAGCCAAATTGGCCAGGGCAGCCTTAATGTTCTTATCCTGCTTATTTGAAGCTAATATTCTGGATTGTGATGTGAGGGCTCTTTCTTCCTTGGGAAAATGTAGGAGATCTAGGAGTGTTTGACAGGTAAATAATAACACTCCACAAAATAACTGAATCAGTTTTTCACAATATTATTGTGTTACTTGGTCTTTCCCCTTGTTTCTCTCCCTCTCTTTGGGGAAAGGGCTTTGTATTACCCAGATGGGTGAACAGTTTAAAGCTTTCCAACTAATAAATACATCATTTTTGAAGTTTGAAATTTGTTTTCCACTGGAAATTCAGGCAAGGGGACCCTAAAATGAAGATTATTCTCTTTTTTAAAAAATTTTTTATTATTTTATTTTTGTTATAGATGTTTCTCCTTTTTCCCCCATTGTCACCCTCCTCCTGATCCCCCTCCCCCCGCCCTGTCCCCAGCATTGTTGTCTATGTCCATGGTTACGCATACATGCATATAAGTTCTGTGGTTTATTTCTTCCCGACCCCTGAAGATTATTCTCTATGAGTGTTTGTCAGTTATTTATACTTTATTGTTTACTTCATGAACCTGTGAGAGGTAGGTGAATATATAGTTTTCTAAATACCATATTAATTGGAAATTATAAAATGCAGAAATTGAGTACAAGTTGTTTTTTATAGTCTTATTTTTTCCTGAAGTGTTACATATATACCATATGCATTTATTTATTAAGTGGTTGAGTTAGTTGTTATGAAAACCCTAATTTTAACTATTCTAATAATTAAGAAAATCTGCATTAAGGAAAAATTGTTGCAGTTTACTTGTTCTTTTTCTGAACAGAAGGTTGGGAAAAAATACTGAGGTTGACTTGAAAGTGTCACTTATGAGTTAGAAGACTTTTGAGTTGTGTCTATATTTTAAGGGTTAAGTGTGAAATAAGTCATCTTGTAAAAAGGAAGGATATTTTCTATGGATCATGGAAGTTTTTGTTCTGTTCCCAATATGTAGCAAGCTAAGAGTAGTTATTAAAATGTAGTTTCAGCCCTGGCCAGTTTGGCTCAGCGGTTAGAGCGTCGGCCTGCGGTCCTGAGAGACCCGGGTTCGGTTCCTGCTAAGGGCACGTGCTTCGGTTGCAGTTTGTCCCCGGCCCTGGTTGGTCGTGCGGGTGGCAGCCACTCGATGTGTCCCTTCACATCGATGTTTCTCTCTCTCTCTCCCTTCCTCTCTCTCCCTCCCACTCTATCTGTACAAAAAATGGAAAAATATCCTCGGGTGAGGATAAAAAAAAAAAAAAAAGACAAAAAAAAAAAAAATGTAGTTTCAGGAATACTGTTGTATCAAATACACAATGAGTCAAATCATAGTATGTGACTTGTTTCTCAATATACTATGTAGCATTTCATAGTTTTTAAGTTATCCACATTAGGGAAATAGTATAATAACTGCTTATAGTTGAGTAAATTTAACAAAAAATTATACCCCAAGAAGACTAAAAGTCAATTTAGTAAAAAATAACACAGGCTGAGAAGCTTTTTTAAAAATTGGATATAATGTACACAGAACTGGATAATGGATTTGCCATAATTTTTGGTTATTACATGTTCTCATTGACCCTTGTATAGCCTGTTTTATTCTTATTTTTAAAAATGTAATAAGCCTCTTTGAACCCACCATTGGAACAACAGGTAGGTTCTTAATCACCTACATCTAATTGTACAGGTTCCCCCAACTATCCTATCCCATGCCTTCCCTCTACAGAATTCACAGCCTGAATTCTGTGTTCATTATTCCCTTGCTTTCTGTTTTTGTATAGCTTTATCATATCTTTATGGATTCTTAGAAAGTATATCTTTTAATTTTAGTTTTAATTTTTATCAAAAAGATATTCTGTATGTGATCATTTGATAATTATTATTTTTACTTAACATTGTATTGCTGAGATTCACTTTGCTGATTAATAATCTATGGCATTCATTCATTCATTCTCCTGAGAATGGGCATTTTGCATGTTTTTCAGGGTTTTGCTAATGTGAACAGTTCTGCTATGAACATTCTAATAATACATACCTTGTACATGTATATTTCTTTTCATGTATATGTAGCAATAAAATCCCTGGGTAATAGAGTGTGGGATTATTCACTTTGTAGAAATTATGTCAAACATTTTTTCCTATCTTTAATCTGCAAAAGAATTTGTGGCTCCATGTCTTTCTAACACTTGGTATTATCAAACTTTAAATTTTTTCTTCTTGAACGGATATAGAATGGTATTTCATTTTTATTGCATTTCTCTGATCACTTTTGATATTAATGTTTCCTCACTTTTTAAAAAATCCTTACCCCAGGATATGTTTTTCATTGTTCCAGGGAGAGGAGGAGGGAGAGAGGGAGGGAAGAAAGCGGGGGTGGGGGGGTGGGGGTGGGAGGGGAACAGCAATGTGAGAAACATTGATTGGTTGCCTCCTGCATGAGCCCCAATCAGGGATTGAACCTGATGTGCCCTCACTGGGAATCAAACCCAAGACCCTTCAGTATACCAGATGATGCTCCAACCACTGAGCCACACTGGCCTTGGCTCTTCACATTTTTATTGGTATTTTTTTCCCTCTGAAATGCTTGTGCATGTCCTTTTTTTTCCCTTTTCCTAGGTTGTTTGTCCTTTTCTTTTGGATTTTAAGTCAGTCTTTTTTTTTTTTTTTTTTTATCCTCACCCGAGGACATTTTTTCATTTTTGGTTCAGATAGAGTGGGAGGGAGAGAGAGGAAGAGAGAGAGAGAGAGAGAGAGAGAGAGAGAGAGAGAGAGAGAGAGAGAGAGAGAGACATCGATGTGAAAGGGACATATCGAGTGGCTGCCACCTGCACGACCAACCAGGGCCGGGGACAAACTGCAACCGAGGTACGTGCCCCTAGCGGGAACCGAACCTGGGTCTCTCTGTACCGCAGGCCAACGCTCCATCCGCTGAGCCAAACTGGCCAGGGCTTAAGTCAGTCTTTATATATTTTTGATACTTCTGTTGAATGCATGTATTCCAGAATTCTTCAGTTTATAACTTTAAAAAAAAATATATATATATTTATTGATTTCTAAGAGAGAAAGGAAGGGAGAGATAGAGAAACATCTATGTGAGAGAAAACCATGGCTCAGCTGCCTCCTGCATGCCCCCTACTGGTGATCGAGACTGAAACTCTGGCATGTGCCCTGACTGGGAATTGAACATGGACCTCATAGTCCAGGGGTTGATGCTCAATCCTCTGAGCCATACTGGTCAGGCTATAAGTTGTTTTTTCACTTTCTTTAGAGTGTTTTTTGAAAACTAAAAGTTCTTGATTTTAATATACTCAAATATATTTCATTTTTTAGTCAACACTTGTGTCTTTCAGGAATTACTTATTTGCCTTTCTTTTTCTCATTTTATATGCCAATATCTGTTAACATTAGAGCTGACATTTATTTTTTTTAAAGGCCTGAGAGTGCAGTGGTAGGACAACAGAGAAGGAAGAAGATAGTTAAAGAAAATGAAAGCAGATGAGAAGTATGTTAGAATATACCAATGTATATAACTTCTCATTTCCCTCCAAATACGAGTAGAAAATAAACCTTTGTTAGAAGCTGGATTCACATCTGTGCTTTCAACTCAGGTACCTGAGATAGGCTTCACTGGTCTTCTAGCACGATTTTCCCCTAAACTCT